ATACATCCATACATTCTCACCAACTTTTGCATTTATAATATTAGCAGGATTGATAAGAAGGTTTTGTATCGGTCAGTATAAACCGATCGACTTCAATAGATAGACTTGAATATTTTAGGCTTTAAGTGAGAGACACCTAAACCTTTCAACTGGCTTTGTACAAATAAATATAGTACTAGAAAACTAGATATTTCTAAAAGAACTACTTAAGAATTTTAAATATATATAAAATGATATCAACTTTTTTGTGGTAATTGGTGAACTCATAAAATTTTTTGTAAGAAAAAAATACATAGTTACATCCATAAACTTATTCTTTTTTTATTTTCTCGTTGTAATTGTACCATTTTTCTGTAGGTAATTGATAAATATATAGCCGACAAAATTATGCAGCTATTTTATACTAAACGCAATAGTTTGCGAATAATTACAATAGGGATGACGACTAATTTTTGTTTGTTTGTCCGTCAGGTAGAGTGTTAAAAAATATTAAACATGTATTTTTTAGTTTTTTTTTCGTAATCATAAAATAACGGCGATACATCGAATTGAAATTTCGCATGACGTCACGTTATGGTACGTTTTCTACTCAACTGTGACGTAGCGAGCCCCCACTCCTCAACTTTAATGCCTGTTATCTAAGCTATTTCTTGTTAAATTGAAGTAAAAAAAAAATACGTATTTAGTATTATCTGACTGACGGACTAATTAGAATTGCATTTTTTTTACCCAGTCATCATCCCTATTGAAAACTCTTTGCCGAAAGCAATGGAATAAACATGGACTTCTAACACAGTATAATTTTACTTTTCTCTGAGCTTTTATTAATTCGATTGTTTAATGTTAGGAATACTTCTTTAATGTTAACACTTTAAAATAAACGTTTTTTACAGATATCATGCACCTTGTGTCATTAACGATATAATAAACAAGAGTTGTCCGCTATCTCACTGCATATTTGCCGCGGTCAAAGTCCAATTAGCGCTCTTGTTACCAGAGAATAACTGAGAAATGCTATTTGATGTTTAATTCGCAATGCTGAGTGTGAAATGCATGACCCCGATCAGAGATTTACTGTCAAATGAGAAAAATATATAGATAAATTGCATCATCCAATTCTAGGTGACTCCTGAGATGAAATCCCGTTGTACATTTTGGTACATTACAATTTAAATGTACACAAATATTATAAAAATGTTAAGTTTCTAACTTTGTTTGTATGCCAGGTAATCTTCGCAAACACTGATCCGATCGTGAAAATTCATTCATTAACGGTAAGCTGACCAATTATGTGAATGTTTACGTAAAGATTGCAATTCATTAGAATCTCAACTACATGCATTTGCCATTGTAGTATCTCCCTGAAGTACAATATTATTAGTGCTATGTCTTCATCAGAAATTAATGGAGACAGATATATAATAACATTGGATTTCAGGTAGATAGCACAATGGTTAAATACAAGCAGCCTACTGATGGGATCATGGAAATTCTTTTTGGAAATTGACGCTTTACACGGGTGACATAGGCTATATGCGTGAGAAGTCACAGAAAGACTACTAGTTTTAAATAACAGTAACAGAATAATTATGGCGTATTGCAGGAAACAAAAAGTCCAAAAATCATAACCCGCTTTCTGTGGCAGTCGTTCTTCGCAATTTTGGCTATTGTAAAACAATTTTTACATGAAGTTTAATTCTTATGAATTAGAATATTCTTATTTCCAAAAAGGCTTATTCCGTTACAACAATCACTTTGATCAATTAGACTTTATTTGGATCGCATAAATCATTATAAAGTTTCTGACGACGATCGTTTTTTTTTTGAACTCAATTACAAATTATAACCTAAAAAGTACTTTTCTAATATTTTTTCATTGGTTTATTGATATGCGTTAGAAGGTTAGGGCAAAAGACATCAACGCACTAATTTAATATACATATATAGAATTATTTTTCTCATTGTATGAAATAATAATCCATTGATTATTTACAACAGAGAAAAAAGTAATATACAATGAAATAAGTCACTAAATATGAATTTGTTTAAATAACAACCATGGGTTTAAATTTGAATTTACTTTTTATTAAGCACAAAATATTTTTTCTTGTTATAACTTTAACTCATTACTTCTTACTAAAATGTACTTGTATTATGATTCGATAATAGTAATTATTTATGAGAGGAGCTCGATAATGCAGGAATTAGTTAAGCTACTTTTACTTAGGCCAGCCATTGGATGGGTTGGGACTACAAATCTATCCTCTTTATCATATAAGTATAGATGACTATGAAGTAACCTTACAGTTAACTCGTAATAAAATCAGATATTGTTTATATTAATTTAGTTTAGAACTTGAGAGAACCGACTTATCTTTTATTTTATTAGGCTCACAAAACTGGTTATAATGCTGGTAAATACAATTTTTATACATATATTTAATACTCACGGAACATTGCAACCTACTAGATGTGAGCATAACATGCACAAAATATATAATTATGGTATCTAACAAACTTAACTGACGCGGATGTCATTGTCCTTGTACATAAATTTCTCTTAGGTGTGGGTTGTCTGGCTTTATGTTACTTATTAGCAGTTTAATTTTATAATCAATTATTATTTTTAACACATTCATTAACTGTAGTGCATATAAATATGCATGTAATCAAATAAAACCTACTTGAAAAGTAATTATATAATAATAATAAAAAAAAATATTATAGAACTTCTATACTATGACAATACTGTACTTGAGGTCTACTTCTAAGCTGATAGTAATATAGAATAACATATTTGGCATGAATTCTCCGATTAGGAATGGCAGTGTAAAATAATAGAGTTGTTAAATACCCCAGAAAATTTACTTTTTGCAACCTTTTTCTGGAAACTTAACAATTATTCAAAATCAAGTCAAATTTGATAAAAATCGATCCAAAATTAAAACTTAGAAGTGTCATAATATAATTGGGACTCTAGTAGAATAAAATTTATTGTTTTTCACAAACTATCAACTCAGGCAGACCGACAAACACGCAATAGAAGCATAAGAACTATCTGTTTTCTATGTAAAATTTACAAGAATAAACAGTTACATAATATCATAATATTATAACACATTGATATCATAATATCATAACACATTGCTATATAAATCATTAAAACTAAAAAAAAAATTATCAGATAAGCTCAATTTTTTACACATCAATCAGTAAATCAGTAAAGCTTCAACATACAGATTACATTCAATCTTTTTTCAATAAACAATGAGTCAATGATTTTAAATCTATATCTAGTGTTAATGATAAACGTATCCTTTGCTTCACGGATACATACTATCATCACGTATTATACGATAGTGATGTGTGTGTGATAACAGGACCGTGATCCAGTGATTATTACCGAAACAGTTATTTTTAGACTTTTTAAAATTCCGTATCCGAAAACGAATACTTCTCGTAGCACTCGCATATTCGTATTTCTGTCATGTCTAATTGTAATCTATTGTGACTGCATGGTGACCTAAAAACAGTTTCTGAGTCCAGTCTCTCACGCTATAAGTTTATTTTTTACACTTGTTACCCTTACTTTCAAGTACAACCTTCTACATAAAAGTTGTGGAAGAAAAATAAATGATATTATTGTGACAATATCTGCGTTCAGCGTTTCATCGGTTCACTATATGTTTGTTATCTGTCGCTGCTATATTGCGTTTAGTTCGTCTTTTGCCCCTAAAGTATTTCCTATTATCTAGGCGGAATACATATCCAAATATTTCTGCAGACCAATATGTTTCAACATCATCAGCCCTTTTACGTCCCCACTTCAGGGCTTCTATATAGATGGTTAAGGAGGATGGGCCATTACCCTCCACGCTGGCCCAATGGAGATTGGAGGGTAACATGTTTCATACAGTAAATAAGATACACTTATGTCATAAATATTATTTAACATTTTAATTTCTAACATTTCATATGTCAATATACCAACTAAGATTATAACCCATGTAAGGATATCCTACTAGTAAGTATTTAGACATGCATTGCCTAGGACAAATAGATAAGTTCTTATGGTGGTGTAATGAATGTGTCATGTTTAGTAGGTACATAATTCTTACTTGACTTTGACAACGTGAGCTAATCCGCAGGAAACAACTACATTTAAATACAAAATTTAAAAATAAACATTCTGCAAACTATATCAAATATCTCATTGAAATATTTTCAGAAACCTGTTTATGTAATAAATTAAAATTACTAAACGAATAATTAAGATCAATAATACGATGCTATATTATAATATATCGTACATATGGTCTCGAAGTTATTATTAACTAAGTTGAAATAATTTAAGAAGATCGTTACTACTATTTAATAAAATATCTATTATTATATTATTCCTAAACACATCATTTGAAAATGGTTGGTATTTTTTTATTAAAAAGCGTTTGGCATAGATATACAGAGTTAGACTATTTGTCCATTAATATTATTGGATAATAATAATATTAATATTATTAAGGGCTGGTGATGATGATGATGATGATATAAATTTTAGAATATCATTTTGAAAGCAAAACTCACAAGAAACAATATTAAAATTCTGCTACAATATTTTGTAATAATTTTTGTATTCATTTAATTTTTTTTCATGGTCTTGAAAAAAAGAAAAAAGTGAGGTTGAGAAAAAATCTAACATCAATTACTCCAACTAAATCGTAGATGAAACTGCAAAATGATTTTATAACTTATCAAAAGTGAATGTTAAAAAGTATTAAAATATAGTTTTAATAAAATAATATCTATCTAATTAATGAAAAATATTCCAATCGAACTATCAATACTTAATTAAAATGAAGGTCTCGGTATTTAAACGAGATTTGATCCCGGATTCTATTTACGGCACGGGTCGCATTATCAGCACACAATAAAGTGGTGGCAACAAAAAAACAGAAAGTGTCCTAGGACCGTTTAACTTAAATAGTGTAAAAGTATCATACCTTCAACGGGAAATATGATCTTCTGCTCCGTTCTGCCGTAATAGTCGTCGAATTCCGGCGGTTGCTCAGTCCCCTCATTGAGGGTCTGCCCTTGAGCCACCGGCATCGGCAAACTGTTCACAGGTAACCCGACAACAGGCTTCTTACTTAATCTCAACTTCTTCAATATCTGATGTTTAACAAACGCCAATCTCACTTCTGTAAGTTCCGCTACGCTCAAGTCCCCACTGGCGCACCCCGCGCACATACCTAACATTTCGCATTCTAAACTTAATAAAGTTATGACTAGAAAAGTAATCACGGTCACTCGCGGAAGACTCATCGTGGCAGATTCCTCCGGCGCAGGCAGTTGAAGTATGCGAGTAGGTCGAGACACATGCGTGCGACTATCACGGCGGACGGCCCTCGACTGAACAGTGTCGGGAACCAGCACACCTCATATACGTGCGTGTGCGCTGAATCTTTGGACTTGAATTTTACTGAAACGTGAAATATTCGTAAAGCTCTCGTGTAGCTTTTGCTGTTGCCGATCAAACGTAACTTCATGTTCTACGGTGTAAGACCAAATTTTAACATTAGTAGTTCTTAAAGAAAATACCACAAATAAAACTGTAATAGAGTCATAGAGTCCTAGATTCGTCAGATCTAGGACCCGTCTTTAATCTCACTAAAAGTATAATATCTAAAATAATTTAACTTTTTTATCTAAAATAGTAAAAAAAACGAAGATACCGATAAGACGTCAATAAACTTTCGTCAAAAATACGTAGATATCCGGCCGACCGCGGTCTATTCGAACAAACCAGGCCGTTAATGCAGTCAAGGACAGAATTCGTCGAAATCCCATGAGGAAGCAAAAAATCCTTTCCAGAGAAATGAGAATCCCATCGAGGACACTTTCTCGGATTATCAAACAAGAATTAAGTCTAGGGGCTTACTAGAGATACACAGAACATACCTTAAATCAGTCACTAAAACAAAAGAGAGTCGAAAAATCAAAACAGCTGGTACTTCGTACAAAAATTTACAGACAAGGAGCACTACAACAAACAAAATAATCGAGTGTATACAGCTCTAAAGAAGCTTCCGAGGTAGTGGCCAAAGTTCAGCAAGGCCATCATCCAGCATACGTCATGGTTTGGTGGGGTGTCTCCTACCAAAGGGTTACAAAACTTAATTGTTGCGAAAAAAGAGTGAAACCTTCAGCCGAAGTGTATCAAAATACCGTGTTAGAAGCGGTAGTTAAACCTCTCAACAACATCTTATTCAAAAACGAAGTGTGGACATTCCAACAGGATTCAGCCCCGGGTACGCACTACCCAAATTTGGCTTGAGCAAAATGTTCCAGACTTCATAAAGGCTGATGATTGGCCTTCGGCTAGTCCGGACTTAAACCCTTTGCACTATAAATTGTGGTCTGTGCTAGACACTTTGAATAACTAGTTTAGTACGTTAACATATCTTTTTATAAAAATCTTCGTAAAAGTTAATTAAACTTTTTTGTACGTCTTTAGACGATTATTTGAATAGGTGATATTGAATCCTTATCAAAATAAACATGCTTATCGTCAAAGAAATTTAATGTTAATAAAAATTTAATTTTACACCAAATCAATTGGATGAGTAGTTTGGATATTAGTACAATATTAAAAAAAAACCCACCCTGCCGAATTTCTAAATACTATTTCATGAAATATATTTATTATGACTTAACAGTTTATTTTTTTTAATATGTATTCGATAATTTTTATTTTTATAAGGACTGTAGTATATATTATTGTGTTTCTAATAACAACAATGAAAGCAACGATGACTAAGAGAGTGTTAGTAACAAGAAACACCTGCTCAAGATGAGATTCCCAGTTTACTTACCCAAGAATATTATGTAGAGTAGTATAAGGCTTCTGTAGTGTTGTTAGAAACAAAAACAAATTTGGGAGAATGTATTGACACTTCATTCGACACGATGACTTCTTTTAGACCAGACTGTCAGCAAAAATAATCTAATGACAAGTAAAACTATTATTGTGGCACTATCGAGAATCATTAAGAAACGCAAACAAAGTTACGATAATCACGCTAAGCAAAATAAGTATCAACACTAGCTTAGAAACTCGGAAGATTACTTACAGTAGTACATAATACTTCTGCAAAGGTACTGTATGTAGATATATTCTAGCCCTAAAAAGTAATAGAAACAAACATGAACTGCGTGCATAGGATATTCTCTAGAAACGACATTGTCAAAAAACCGGCTAAGTGCGAGTCGTACTTGTTACATGGAAGGTTCCGTGCCGTAAACGAGTAAAAAAAACACGTTTTTTTGTATGGGAATTTCCTTAAACAATTTTTTTTCGTATTTGTTATTATAGCGGCAACAGAAATACATCATAAACAGACTGACAGACGGAAGGATGGAGAATGGATTCTTAGCAATAAGGTTCTATTTTTTATCCTGTAGGTACGGAACTTTTACATTTATCTTATTACAAAAAATCTTACTCTAACTCGTAACTAATATCGAGAACGCAGTATACTACTTTTCATATTTTCTGTAGAGTCCTCTTCCTCAACAAAGGTTAAACGCCCATTTTTGTATTTTTAATAAAAAAGGTACATTTAACATGTTTTGCAGCAAGAAATTGTAAAAGAATAACGGTACAAAGTTTAAAAGATAACTTTATGCTAGCTACCAAAAGAACCACCTTCTCGAAATTAACCTTTACTTTGGCATCAAGCTTATGAGGTTGGTTTACCATGAGTTGTGATATTTTTGTAACGTGTCGGTTTAACCGGAGTTGTGGTACTTTTATTAATTATCCACCATTTAGATAAAATTTGGTGTGAAAAAGTAGGAGACCCAAAACAAAATATAGAATAAATATCATACGAATCCTATGAAAGGAATGAAAAGACGGGTAGAAGTTTTGTATGGGGATATTTTATTTACTTACATTTTTATAATTGCTTCTACTTTCCTTTAAAACTAAATTATTAGTTTTTATATCAATTAAAAGAATGTTAGATTGAAAAAAAAACCACCACAAAATTATCGAATAATTTTTATTCTTATAAATTCAATATACTCCATTTTTATTCGGGCGATGTTTTGATGGCAATATTTTTACACGTCTGACTTCAAACTTAACTTTAATTTGTCATAATTTAACTTCGTTTGAAGTCAGATTAAACTAAAACAAAACTACTGGTATAAATTTCGTCAAAGATTACTTCGAGACTTGAGGTATATGGAAATATATTTTTTTGAAATGAACATTTGCTTAATAACGCGTTAACAAACGGAAAGGATTTTTTTTTTAAATATAATTAATAGTAATAACAAAGTGAGAGACATTAGATATATTTCTTATCAGTGAAATTATGGTGAAAATCATAATCGAAGATGCTATTTTAGTCAACCAACAAGTACCAACAAAACTTAATAATAACAATCGAAATCAATTAAAATAACAAAAATGATGTGTGATCTCAACACTACCCTACTCAGTAAGTGTGCTCGTCAACCAGTGTTTAATCGTTCTTATAATTTTATTAAAATCATATCCATGAAGATAAATTCTGTGCATTAGTGGCAGTGTCAGGTCCTACAGGTATCTTAATTTAATAAGTTGTAAAAAATACGTTTCTTTGATGTTTTATTAGCATTCTAAAAATAGACGAAATTTCGCTTTCGTACGAGACGTATGTGAGTTATACTTTGTAATCAAGTGTTAAGATTGAGTAATATATAATAATTATGGTTTCTGAATCAATATTGCAAAGAGTTAAAGTTTCTAACTTCGTGTTTGGGGGGGGGGTTAATTTTCGGAAATATTCATCGCTAAATTGCGAAGGTGAATAAAAAAGGCGAAGTTGCTAAATCAGCAGCTAGTATAATAAATAATATGAGATGGTTCAGTATCAAGTCCACTTATTTCATTTCCACTTATACTATTTCCGTCATGAGTTACGGTGTTTAATGAAACTACTAAGTTATATTATAACAACACGTGCACTAGCATAACTGATTACATGGCCCATTATCGATGGTGTTAGTTGCTATCGCCATAAACTTGCGTGTAACAATGGGCGATGCGATGGAATCCGGGCTCAAAGTCCATAGTGCATTCTCCACCCCATAAACCGCGTGATACACAGTAACGCTGTCGTGTAGTGGCTGCTTTTCAATTGATATTTATTTTATATTGTGAGAAACTCGATGGCGCAGTGGATAGCGCGGTCAATTTGTCTGTAACTTTCGAGGTGGCCGTTTCATATGAAAGGTAAGCGAAAATTGATCAAATTGAACTCTTCTCTGCTCCAGAAAACACGGTAGGCCTTTAGTCCCGGTCACATCTGCAGGTATTAACATACCAAAGCGCTTAGTGTAAGTTTTTTTACGTTTACGTTGACTGTCAATCGTGATCGCGTTAAGATTTTAGTATGGAATCCGGTACAGCGCTCTTAGCGGTAACTACCAAGAACTACAAATTTTTAAAGCGTTCACTAGTGAACGTGTAATTTAAAACTTACACTTACCACTCAGGCCCGTGTGTAAGTTTATGATTCCATCGCTAAGCCCGCATTGAAGGTTCTATCCATATGATTCCATCTATGAAGATCTTTTCTTTAGAAATGGGGGAGGATATAATAGAACATTATTAATTTATTTTATCATCAGTACACTGCACGCTCTCTTGTACAGACACAAACAATAAACACCAATATATATTAAACTTATAATCAAAAATAATAATATTATAAAATATGTCACCGTCGAATATAGAATCTCCTCCATTTCGATTTTGAAATCGGTAAACAATTAACAGAGAAACACTAACAGATCAATAATTTAAAATCTCAACAATATCAATAGTTCAGTTAGTCGATAGTTATATCAAAGTGTATTAATGGTTATCGATCAGAGCCGAAAGAGTGAGACGAAAGATATTTTCTTTAGAAATTACTAATGAATGAATTAAACGTTAGAATTCTGAGGATTCGGCGAATACATGGTTCATATGTTTGTATAGAAAGTGATCTAAAAATTCTTTCGTTCGTTCGTTCGTTCTATAACAAGTTCAGACTTTAAAATTTCAGCAATACTAGCAACAGAATACATAATGTGCTTAATCCAGAGAATTGCTCGTAGAAGGGAAATAATAACAAAAAAAGCACTTGGGTTAGTGATAAAAAAACGCATTTATTATATAATTTTAATAGTTACCAATACGAAGCGTTCTCTGAACGTTAGAAAAACTTTGGAACTGATAAAAGGTTCCGGCCTTTCTAAGAATTGTTCATAATTCCGTCGTTTACATCCATACGTTGTATCTACACAACATGCTCCGGACGCGTGCAAGCTTTATTATCAAAAAATATTTTTTATTATTATA